ATATATCCAATACTGTTATCTCCCCTCCAGATTTGAACTTTGCTAAGAAAAATAAAATTTTACAAAATTACAATTAGCAGATTGTTGTAGAAAAGTGACAAAATTGATATTCTCATAGGGGTAGATTTCTACTATTCTATAATTACTGGTAAAATTAAAAGAATTTCAGAAATGTAGTAGCCACAATAGAATCTTTATTTGGGTGGTGTTTGCAGGGTAAAGTAAATAATGATCATAGTGAATTATTAACTATGAAAGTAATTGTAAATGAAAACTTGATATCAGATCAGTTACAACAGTTTTGGAAGCTAGAAAACTTGGGTTTGGAAAGTGATACTCAAAACGACAAAACTGTTGATTTAGAAATTATGAAAATCTTTCGAATCTGATATCAGGTATAAGAACTGCAGATACCAAGTAAATTACCTTGGAAACCGAATTCAAAACATTTAATGGAAGATAATAGGGATATAGCACTTGAAAGATTTAAGAAATTGAGTAACAAATTTAAAATTGATAACTCTTTGTTTGTTCAATACACAGAGGTTTTAAAGGATTACGAGTTAAAACATATTATTGAACCAGTTCAAGAAGACAATCAAAATGATAAAACCCTATTTTATTTACCTCATAGAGCAGTCATCAGAAATGATAGAGCAACAAGCAAACTAAGAATAGTTTATGATGCTTCAGCCCATAAACCAAAAACACTCTCTCTAAATGACTGTTTATATACTGGTCCGAACCTATATCCTGATTATTTTGATTTATTGATAAAATTTAGACAAAATTCGATAGCCTTTACAGCGGACATTACACAAGCATTTCTTACAGATAGAGTTAAATGAAGAAGACAGGGACGTTACACGATTCTTTTGGAAAGATGATCCTGATGATAACAATGAAAGTTTGAAAAGCCTTTAGATTTACAAGAGTTTTGTTTGGAGTAAAATCTAGTCCCTTTCTCCTAGCTGCTACTATTAAGCATCACCTTAAAAATATTCAGAAATATATCCTGAAACAGTAGAACTCTTAAAACAATTGCCTGTATGTTGATGACATTATTGGTGGTCAACAAAATTTAGAACAAGCCCTGAAACAAGTTTAGAAATTGTGAACATTTTAATGAAGCTAGCATGTCACTACATAAGTGGCATACTAATTCCAAAGAACTCAAAGATATTTGGCATCGCAAAGAATTTTCGATGCAAGAATCTCCTGAAGTTGTCCCGATCAAGTGTTAGGAACTGGGATACGGATAATGATAATTTTTATTTTGACACATTTCATTTTTATTTTGACAAATTTCATTTCCTCGTCAATCAACTCAAAACGTTTTCTATTGCAAACCGCAGGCCGTATTTTTGATCCTGTCGGATTTTATGGCCCTTTCACTATAAGAATAAAGTGTCTGATTCAGGAAATCTGGTCTGCCAAAATTGATTGGGACGATGAACTGCCACCTGATCTTAGTTATAAATGGAAAGCCTGGTACGAAGAAATTGAAGAACTGAACCACCTCAGAATTCCCCGCTACTATTTAGAAGGAATATTGATGCAGATGTGAAACAAATAGAACTCCATAGCTTTTCTGATGCTAGTTTGAAAAGCTTATGGATGCGTGGTATATCTGAGAATAGTTTTGAACAATGGAACTTTTCAAACAGTTTTTGTTGCTTCCAAGAGTAGAGTTGCCACCTCTGAAATCCCTTACACTTCCTAGATTGGAATTTTTGGATGCGCTTTTATCCGCTAGATTGAGTGATAAGATTGCAAAATGTTTAAAATACGTAATACCATGATGCAAATGATGAAGAAATAAATAATCTCCTTCCATTGGACTGATTCTCAAATAACGTATTTTTGGATTCATGGATCTCCTCCAAAAATTTAAATCTTTCATAAAAAAAAAAAAAAAAGAGTTTATGAAATTCAGAAACTAACTGAAAGCAATAAATGGCATTATTGCCGTGGGAAAGATAACCGCTGCGACCTCATATCACGAGGAACTGCTGTCTCTAATTTAAGAAATTGTTCACTTTGGTGCTTTGGACCAGAATGGTTACAAAACAAACATATAGACTGGCCAGTTCAACTGAAGTTTGACGTGGGAAACAATAAACAACTAGAACTCCGTAGTAAGATATCTGTTTATGACATTGTTGTGAAAAGAGATAATCAACTATTGGATATAATAAAATTCAGTAATGTTATGAAATATCTCAGAATTATGGGCATGTGGATTAGACGTTTCGTTGCTAAGGCAAGAAAACTACCTGCTAATAGTGGAACATTAAGTGCTTCTGAAATTCAGGACACTGAAATTTTTTGTATTCATAAAGCCCAGATGGATTTCTTGACACCTGAAATTAAGGCTCTTCAATCTAACAAGTCAATTTCTCCAAGCTCTGATATATTCAGCTTGGCACCGTTTCTTGATGAAAATAAAATTCTTCGAATTAAGGGAAGATTAGAAGAAACCGAATATACAGTTGACGAGAAGCATCCCGTTTCTTCTTCCTAAAGATTCCAAATTTACTGAATTAATTGTAAAAAGGGAACATAATAACGTTCTGCATGCGGGAGTTGCAGCAACTTTAGCCAAACTACGACAGAAATTTTGGATTCCTAAAGGCCGTCAGCTGGTAAAGAAAGTCTTAGGAAACTGTTTAATTTGTCGGAAATACACAGTAAAACCAGCGAAACAAATGACAGCTCAGTTACCTAAAGATCAAATTGTTGAAACTCCACCTTTATATGTTACAGACGTGGTTTTCACAGCTGGAACCGACATTCAGAAATCATACATCGTATTGTTTACGTGCGCTGTTACACGAGCGTTACATCTAGAAGCTCATTTCCAATATGTCTGCAAACAAATTCATTTTGGCTCTCAGACGTTTCATTTCGAGAAGAGGAAACTGTCGCACCTTTTATTCAGATAACGCGAAAACTTTCAAATATGCTTTGCCAAAGATTTACAGTATTTTTACAGCATAATTAAAGGTAGCAGTTTTTCAAAATTTTCTAGCAAATGAAGGCTTGACTTGGAAATTTATCGTCGAAGCTTGCTCCATGGTGGGGAGCTTTATATGAACGCCTTATGAAAACCACAAAGGAACCGTTGAAAAAGATATTAGGTAAGAGCTCAACTGAATTTTGAAAGAATTTATGACTGTGCTGACAGAGGTTCGAAAATATTGTGAATAGACGTCCTTTGACCTACGTTTACAACGATTTACATGAACCTGAACCGCTTGCACCGGCTGATTTTCTATTGATCGGACATAAAGGATGAATATCCATACAACTTTGCTGAGATCCTGAATAACTCTCCAACAAGAAAGAGTCATAATAAACGAAAAGAATATCAGACAAAAACACTTATAAAACAGTTCTGGAAAAAATGGAAATATCAGTATCTTCTTGAGTTAAGAAATGCTCACTTTTTCGGTACACCAGAAGCAAGAAAAATCTTGAAATTGGTGATATAGTTTTACTTGAAGGAACAACTAAATCTCCCCTCTGGGATTCCCCTCTGGAATTCCCGAACTAAATCCCAATTTCTCTGGGATTTAGGTCGAGTAATTCAAGTCTTTAAAGGACGTGATGGTCTTGTACGATCATCTGTGGTAAAAACTAAAAAAGGGGACTTTAAGAGACCTGTGCAATTGATATACCCCTTGAACTATCAGACTGAAAATGAACTAATTTTGTAACCTTTTAATTTTATTTCTTATATTTCATGTTCACTAACATTAATTTTAGATAATTAGTTTAGTTATTACTAATAATTTACTGTTTGTAATTCGAATTAATATTTACGTATTAACATTTGAATTGATGCAGTTAACTATATTTGTTTATTTTATAGAATTTCCTTTTGCAGTTTATATTTACATCAGTTGAATGTACTTGATATGTAAGTTGCTTTCTTATATTTTTATTATTTGTATGCTGAAATAGTGATAATTTTTGCAAAAATTATCAGGTGGGGAGTGTGGAAAAATCCCCCAAATGATTTATGTATCACCATTAGAGGGTGCTTCACTTATGAGAAAGAATGTTAGTTTTTCAGTTTGCGACATAGTTAGTAGTGAACCATTGATGCAATCCAGGTTCCTTTTTACACAAAATGATTATTTTTGTAGATCGTTGAAGTATTTAGCTTCATTTAGAATTAGATCAACTTTTCGCAATATTAACTCAAGAGCCATGGTAATTGAGAAATGCCAAAAACTTAATTTGGAAATGAAATTTATAACCATATATGATTCATATTAAATATTACTCTTTCAGCATTTTAAAATAAAAGTTAAGAATTAAGATGAAAATTAAATTTGGGGGAAATGTTTAACTGATATGAATTCTTTATTATGGCATACAATCACAAAATGTAGTGACTTCTAAATCACATCATTTTGGAATGTCACTTTTAACAAAAGGGTTGACAGAATATTTGTATTTCTGAACAGAAATGTGACCAAAGCTCAGTCACAGATAAAGAAAGATAAAATTATGTCAACTAAAAAGTGGGTAAAATAATTCCTGCAGGAACAAAGATGAAAATACTTATTCACTTTTTCTCAGAGGAGTAAATTTTGTTTATTGGTTGCTATTTAAAACATTAGCACTTTTTTTATTTGAGAAGCCTTACCTATCCCCCCTTTTTTTTTTATTTACCTGACTTCTTGGACACATTTATATTTTTAGTTCCCTCACTTTCCAGGATTTTTCAAATTCACTACTAATATATAAACAAAATTTTTTCTAGTTTTTTCAACCATTTTTATACAGGAAAAATTGACATTTTATAATTCAAAACTTATTAATTACCAAAATTAAATTTTTAGAAAACTTCAAACAAAAATTTTTTAACTGTTTACTCATTTTCAGTTAAAAAGAGAATCTTTTTTAACAATGACTATAGGCAAACCTCCTAAATACATACTTAACTAACTACAAATACAGCCTTTTATAATAGTAACTGAAATAATTACCTTACAGGGGGCTGAATTTTCATCACAATTCCACCTTTAGAAGATGTTGACTGCACTGATGCATCAGATGCTGAGGCTGAGAAAAAGAACAGATATTCAGTATAATTAACACATGTAATTTATTTATCAAAATATTATTTATAGCATGCAAAATGCTTTGAAAAATACAATATTTCTCTAATACAATATTACAGCTGTCATCCTTGAAATATGAAAAACAGGAAGGATAGTAGATGAATGATCTACTCAAAGGGATTCTCCAGATTTATAAGTATGATGAAAAAAAGAAAGTGATTTTATTCCATTTGAGGGAAGGAGGAGTAATATAGGTTTTTAGAGGTAAATTCAACATTTCCACAAATCATTTTCAATCTCATAATGCAAAATTTAAATTATTTAATTAGTTATAATATGCTTTTGAACTAAAATATACTATATAAAAATTTTGAATGAATTAAGCTTTATGGCTAATTTTACTTGATAGTCTAATTTTTAAAATTTTACACCAAAGAAAACTAGTAATTACGCATTAGCACAACCATCCTGGTGCAGTTTGGCAATTTTACAGAAGAAAAATAATGATGACTTATAGCTGTAAAATGTATTTATTACATACTAAACAAAATATATGTAAGTCTTTAATAAATCAGACTGGATTGAATCTAAAGTAATAAAGAGAGAGCTTTATTTCACACAACGTTTATTGACGAACACCAAAGACGAACTGATACATATACATAACTATGACATCACAGTTTCTTTTTACAAACACTACTGCCACCTATTGGCAATCTAAGGGTACATAGTCATAAACTTACATTTAACACATACAAACATATTATTATAGACACATTTTACATTTTAACTAGGTATTTATCTAAGACACAATCAATAAGCATATTTACAAACAAGCTTTTTTTTTTCTTTTGTATTGGTGGAAATTTTATGGAAATAACTTTTAAGACTCAAAAGAACAGTTCTCTTTTATTGATTTCACAGCAAAATGCTATAACCCTGCAGAAATTTTATAGCAGTTCTTTCCAATGTAAGCAAATCCCTCAAGCACATATTTTAAATTTCAACTTAAGACAAAAAATACCACGATTTGTCTAAAAAAATCTTTGGATTACAATGAAAGAACACATATGAAAATAGTGAAGCTGGTTGTTAAACTAAAGAATTGTCAGAGGAGTTGTGATGAGTGAGACTGCCAGAATTTGATGCATTTTACAACTCTGGTGATTACTAATAAGGTGGCTGCGGTAATACATAAGTACTGAAAAACTTCTCAAAGCTCTGATAGATTGCAGTACCTTAAACGCAATAAGTTAACTAGAAAACTAAGCTCAAAATTATTTGTAGAAAAGCAATAGTTTTTATAATTATAATGTTTGCTAATATATGTTACTGTCTCGTTTTTTACATTTTTCATGTGGGGGGATTCTAACATCTCCTTTTGACATTTCAAAACGAAATGCTCTTCCACAGGTCATTCCATAAATAATATCATTTTCTAAAGCAGGTTTTAAGAAAGAAAAAATAGGTAAGACACGAATTTAATAAAACATATATTCCCCATCAGAATCGGTAACATACGCCTAACATTTTAAGAAAATATAATTACAGTATTAGTTTTTTTAAATAGATACATAAATTATTAAACGATAACAATACAAAAATAAGGAAATTCCATTTCATCATTACTTATATATGAAGGAATAGACAGACTGGTGCAGGCACTGCAGACTAGCAGAGATAAGTCGGAGTTCACAGTTATGTCTCTTCATGTAAACGTCAGCTGTCAGATAATGCTAGAGATAACCTCAGTAACATTGTTGGCAATATAAGAAAAGGTTGCATTGTATTGTAGAATTTAACACGTTGTCTGCCGCAGCACTTTTTGGATCTAGGTCCGAGAAGCCAAATCAATTTAATCATATTTTATTATTAAAAAGTCTAATTATGATTCGCAACAATCATTAAAAAGTTAACAGGATTTTGGTCCCCCCCTTTTTTTTTCTTGTAGAAAAAAGGGTAATACCGGCTTCTGCTAGACAAAGCTCTTCGCAGAAGCCCACTACGAGTTGATCCATTCAGACATGCTTTGACCTGTCACTTTGGTACAGCTAAAACATGCGCACAAAAGTGGCCAGTCAAGAAACTACGAGACAACTCGTATTAAGCGCCCTGAAGAAGAGCGCTAATACGAGTTATCTCGTTTTGGGCAGTCAACATGTTAAAGTGCATTATCGAAGTTAATATTCAGAAAAGAAAAGCATTCATTTCTTAGTAAATATTTTCTAAATGCAGAAAATCCATATGTGAGAAGTCTTCTGAACGCACGAGGACACATATCTCCAAACAAGAACATCTGCAAGCTCAAACAAAAGTATAAACTGTTTCTAAAAATACAATTTTTGGTACTTTTCCATTTTTTCAGCACAGGCAATAAAGTCGCCAAAAATGGTACAACCGATGCCAAATGGAATATCCTCGCTGGATAATATAAGAATCCAACGAGGATCCTTTTACACCTTATTTTTAAAACAAGTCGCAGCCACTTCTTATCAGATTGATTGTTTCTTTCAATATTGGCATAGAATTTTTATCACATAGTTCAATTTTATGCCCTAAGGCCATTTGCGGTAATGAAGTCAATTAGGATGCAATCACACCGTTCACTCGAAGATGAAAATATAGAAAAGGCAATGTCAAGGGTTAAATTCATCAATTCTAATGAGAATGCACTAGCGAAGTAGAGCACTGTGGTTTTACATAATTTTTTAGTAAGCTATTAGTACGAATTGAATAATTTCTGCATTTAGACTTTTATTCCAAATTAAGATTTAACTTGAAATTAATGTAGATAATTACTGAGAGAATTAGATTTTTGTAGTGTAGTTTACGTGAGATGAGATCACTTGGGGTCACGTAATATAAACCGGCGAATGAGGATGTTGTACCATGAAAGCAGTGTAAATTCTTAAATTAATGTCTTTTTACAAAATTTTAAACAATATTAAAATGTTTATGCCTTCAAAATAAAAAAATTCTTTAAATTAACATTTGTTAACACTTTATACTGTGTGTTGTCGGCAATAAAGTGCGCTTGGCGAGATCTGCGGTGGCAAAACGGAAAACTACCCAATTTTCTTTAGAGAAATTCAAGTACTCACAAAAACTAAAATATACTTGCTTATGTGGATATTTGGCATTTGACCTCTAAGGCTTAGAGATAATGTAATTTACTTGAATAAAAAGCAAATACATTTTTTTAATACTATTCTAAAAGAAATCAGCTGGCTTACTAGAAGAAACAAATTTTAAAGCTATTTCAATTGCTTCATGGGAATTGTATTCTTTTCCATCCATAAAATTATACGAGCTTCAAACAATCAGTTACTAGATTGCTCAAAAAAGGAGAATTTCTTCACATGCAGGAAGAGCCATACAGGTGATCACATATTCCCTTTGATTAGCATCAATAAATTCCTGTGGTAAGCTCCTGCCAAGCGAAGCCAAAATTCCAAGTTCCTTTGAACGGAAATGGGCGGTACACAATGATCAATTAACATTTTATGGTGACTCTTATACAGCTGTGTATGAATTTCTTTTAATTGAAGCTCTCAACTCATCATTATCAAGAAAGACAGTGGCAGACATCTATCTAACTATGATGACTTTGGTCAAAATTAGGAACAATCATCATTATTAGCAAATATTCAAAATATGATTATCATCTATTTGCTTCATACTTCCTACAATTTCTGAATTATTTCCTTTTTTAATATTCACAAAAGCCCTTCTGTGACCATCAGTTTCATGACCTACTTACAAACATCCATGCTTTTTTCAGGATTTGAAGCCGAGCCCTTCAGTACAGCAGTCAGTATCACTAACCTGTTTACGTGGCCTTGCAAGATGACACATAGAAGTACACATGGCAACACTCAGCCTTCAATTTTGTTTAGATAGATACAAAAATGTTAACCTAACCGCAACACAGGTACAACCAGCATGACCACATCGAGTATCAATCAGGGGCATCAAAAATTTTTAGATTTAAGAGGAGTACCAAGCAATTAAAATTACGTAAGGCAGAATTCTCAGATATAAATTCTAAAAATTCTGCCATCCATAATTTTTGGTAATAAAAATTTATGGGCACTAAGATTTTTAAAATTTAGGGAGGTATGGAACTTGTAGAAATTCCCTAGTCGGCAAAACGCATAGTGCTCCCCAGCCCTCCCCCAGAACCACTCAAGGAATGAAAGTGTGATCCTGGCCAACATAAGTATATAAATCAATACACTATTATTGGTCATAATATGACTCCATAGTTATGAGGTATTTGAATGTGACATGAAATAATCTCAGATTTAAAAAAAAAAAAAAAAAAAAAAAAAAAAAAAAAATGGAGAAAAACTGCATTTATGGCACATGTGTTTCTTGTTGCTATATTTTTCATTCCTAGATTTTGCAAGGAGGACTATTTTTAATTTATTTATTTTTGTTGAATTTTGGATAAAAAAAATCATTCCTGATATTGGAGGTCTGGATTTTGGACTTTGTATTGTAACAGAAACAACATTCTGCTGCAAAACTAATATAAACAATAATGCCTTTTCATTTTATTTTTTTATAAATAATATCTCTTCTATTATTACTTCCTTGTAAGAAGTAAAGGAAGTATTGTAATCACGAAAGCTTCTGGATATCATATTTCAATGAAAATATCCATTTTGATAGCTACTGAATGCAATTTAGCGATGTTTCTGCATTATATCTGAATATAAGGACAGAATAAAGGATTCTTATTCCCCCCAAAATTATAAAACTAATTTAAAATGGATTCAGCAGACTTTTTCGCGGCGTTTGTACCTACATATCAATCTCACATAACTCAAAAACGAGTAACCTCGGAATGTTCAAATTTTGTACATAAGACAGGCATAGGATGTCGTTGTGCACCTCCCTTATTGGTGGCAATCGGTTGCACCGAATGTAAATAAATATATACAGTCAAAAGTCTTTAATCTGGACTAGTCAATTCCGGATTATAGATCATCAGTTTAAATCTGGTAAGATGGAAGCAGAATTTATAAAATTAAAAATATGAAATCATAATTTATGAAACAAAGAGCAATTATGATCTAAAGGGTATCAAAATTTCCAAAAAAAGCTTAATATTTATTTGTTTTCTTTATTAAACATTTCTTTCAACGCGCGCATGCGTAAAACATACATTATGCACAGACGAAATTAGAAAATTGCAACCAAAAAACTGTTTGATGTGTATTCGTGATATTTATAATGACGAGGAATTTTATTTAAATCATATCAAAGACGGAGTACATCGAGATGAAATACTACATTTAGTAAGGAATTATAAGCCGAATAAAGTAAAAACATCTGCCTTGAAGATAAGGATAGAGCTGACAGATCAACTTCCAGTTCACTGCGCGCCGGGACGTTAAATAAAGAATTAATGGAATTATCTATCTGTAGCAAGATTAAGTAACATTTGTTAAAACTCTAATGAGTAATGAACAATTAAAAATATCTGAGCATTTTAAAAAAGAACTGAAAATATTATATCCCAAAAAAAAGTTATCAGTTATTTTATATATATACATATATATGTGATGTACCAGCTTTTGTCCTAAATAAATAGATTGCTGAAGAAATACAAATGTAGTCGTAGCTTAAATTACCAGACGATAAGTTTAGAAAACAGGATCCATTTATTATTATTCAGGAGAAATAGCAGTTACAAAATCAGATATCCGGAGTAAATAAAAAGAATTACAAATAACTTTTTGTATGAAGTTTACTGCATCGTGACATTTAAGAAAAAGCTTCCGATATTCCTTTTGCGAGTCCTTTTATAGCCTCTGGAAAGGCGGAGCTTCTAAGAAATGACGTCAGCCAATCTAGTTCGCTTTAAATACTTCCAGAACATTCTATAACTGTATGTGTAGAAAAGGCGGGAAAAACAACTTGACTACGGGGCTGTGGATTTAATTCCACGTACTTTCAAATAAGAGAACATCACCATTAAAAATGAAAAGAATATACAGTTAGAATTTTAAGTGTATTCTTGACTATGGAATTTTATTATTACATATATATACAGTCAAATGTCGTTAATCCGGACCGCAAAGCTACAAACTTTCTGCGCATGCGTCCACACATGCGAGTAATACATTTACGCATGCGCATAATAGGTTTACACATGTGCGTTTAATATACAACGGACAGTATAAGCTAAGCTAAAAATATCTATTTCAGTTAATGTTGCAGATTGTGTTGTTCCTGAATCTTCTAATTGGATTCAGCTTATTATTTTTTGCAGAATGTTAGAGCAATTTTATAAAAGTAAGCTTGAAGTTTCGATTATGTCAAATGGAAATGATAAAGTCAAATGGAATAAAGTCAAATGGATAATGTCAAATGGAAATGATATCCTTTATCATATCTGTCATGTCAAATGGAATTTCCGATGCTGGAGCTGCCAAAGGATCTATAAAGCGAAAGTATGTTTCGATGTCCATCAAACAAAAAGTGTAATTGCTGCAAAAAATGGATAAAAGCATATCAAAAGCACATGAAACGAAGCAACTTAAACAACTTACATTGAAAGAAATGTTTAATAAAGTAAACAAATAAATATTAAACTTTTTTTTTTTTTTTTTTTTTGTAAATTTTGATACCCTTTAGATCACAATTGTTCTTTATTTCATAAATTATGGTTTCATATTTTTAATTTTATAATTTCTGCATGCCATCTTACCAGATTTAAACTGATGATCTATAATCTGGAAAAATCGATGTCCCGACGAGTCCGGATTAAATACTTTTGAATGTATGTGGGTCATTCTCCAAAAATGGGGTACTTTTAGATGTCAATTTTGAAAAAAAAAAATTATTTTAAAAATATTTTTTTACATAATTCCTTTATGGTTCTTAATACATTCCAGCCTATGGCCGAGATCACTGACAAATATTTTTCAAGGAAAAAATTATTTAAGTTTTCATTGCCCATGGAGTTGACACACAATGGAATATTGTTGAAATTTAAGACTGAAACATGAACCTAAGCATCTTTTAACATCACTTTCAGTGTAACCAAATGTCTTAACTTAATTCACATTGTAGATTTTAATAAATAAATACTACAGTACAGCTTAAACACAGAATAGATATTTATTTAGAAAATAAACAGTGGGGGAAAAAAACATCTTTTTAAAGCAGTTTACTCCAAATTAGGAAAAAATTTTTAATTTAAGTCTTTAAAGAAATATGTCTGTCGGTGGGTAAGCACAGGTGCATTTAAGACTTGTTTTATATCCCTAGAGTAAATCCAAGATAAGTCTCTCTGAGATGGAAATGAAAAGGTATTGTCTGCATTTTTAGACATGAGGTCACCATGATACATTTTGCTTCCACCCTGTTGACAGTCATCTTCTTCTAAAATCATCCCTATAAAGTGATGCGTTTTTTTTTTTCCGCCTTGTGAATTCTGCAACCACATATGCATTTATTAAGCTAACTTTTGTCAAAGGTAATTTCATTGTACCACATTCAACCACTTTCAGAATTTTGCTAGGAATTTTGTCATCTGTGTCAGAGTAGACATTGTTAACTTTCAGTCTCTTAAAAGAGGTTATAGGAATCCTTTATCATATCTGTGTGAACAAATATCAGCTGACATACACAGAAAACAGCTTAATATATAAAACCCTTCAACAGTTGTCCTAGGGTGATCAAAATAACTCCCCGATGTTCCATTTTTATTCCAAAACAATATATTTGACAAGATATGGGTAAGGAAATGTAGTATTTTCTCAAAAATTGAACAGAAACAAGTGAGAGAACAAGAATGAAATAATACTAGTACAGAGCAAGTTTAGGTATTAAATACACTACAAATCAAACTTTTTAGCTTTTTTTTTAATAGCTCCCCTTTCTTTTCACTGAAGTTTAATTTCTTAATTTTAAAAGTTCATTAAATTATTAATTCGATAAAAACCTATGGATGGTTTTGTAAAGAACTTGCAGAAGTGAAGATTTAAAAATAGATAATACATCGTAAGAATAAAACTTAGAACTCAATTACTCAGTTTTTAATGAAACTTAAAAACTGGATACTTTATTTTTTTTTTAAAAATGTAAAACTTACAATTACCCTCTTGTAGTTTCTTAAACTGGTCCAGAAAACTACCGTCGTTTTTAAATTGATTTGTTGATGATATTCGTGGTATTTTTACTGGAAAACTGAAAATAAAATCAACATGATATTAAAATGCAACACAAAATGACCCAAAAACATAAATAAGTCCTGATTAATTTTCGGTAATAAATAACGCGATATCTAAAACATCATGTATTTATTTGATCTCTATTTAACCTTTTGTTTGAAGATGTCACAATATTCGAAGTTGTTGACAATCCTTCCATTTCTTTCTTCCTCTTTTTTTCAGCCACTTTTCTTAATATTTCTTGTTTTTTTTCTTCAATAATTCGTCTTTGCTCCGACATTTCAGTTAAACGATCCATTTTCTATTCTACTTAAAAACGCAGCACATTCCAAAACATTACAACAAATATTATGCAATGTTGTTGCCAGAAAAAGCTGAATTGACATACCGGCTTTTAGAAAATAAGAACTTTTTTTCCTCGTTGCAAAAGCGTTGCGTTAGGATTTTAATAGATACTTTAGAATTTTAAATATTATAAAAATTTTAATACTCCATACTTTGAACAAAACATTTTATTTTTATATGAATTCAATTTTCGTATTTTTAAAACGAAGTGAAGATTTGAGACGAAGTGAGTTTGAGAAAAAGATTTGGCAGTCTACATGAAGTGTAAATAGTGAATGTTTAATTTGAGTTTCTAACATTTTATACATGTTTATCTCGCCTCCAGCTAAATAATATTTTAGATAGAAAACATTAGTCAGTTGTTGAATTTTATATTTAATTGAATGGATTCGGAAGAAGAGATATATGATGAATCTGATTCCGGTAATGTATCTAGTGGTGCTGAAGATGATTGTTTATGTTTTGACTCGGAATCCTCTGTGAGGGACCGAATAGAATTAGAAGACGATTTTCAATATGAAGTGCTTAGTACCGAAGAAATTGTGCAGCATATGGTGGACTGTATCAAAGAAGTGAATAACATCGTTGAGGTATTGAACTACCTATATATTTTGATTCTAGGATGTTCTGTCAAATGCATAAATTTTCTTCACTGTATTAAAAATTGGAATTATTAGCTTTATAAGTTATAAAACTCAGTAAAAATGAATATTATTGAATGTTTTATTTAAAAATTAAAGTTTTACTGATTTATGTTTGTGCTACCATAACATGTTTCCTTTTATGCGGTAAATTTTCAAATGAAGGTATTATGTTGGATTATTCAGTTCTTGAGAGCTAGTATGTAACTTTTGAAATGGAGATATTTTGAATAGAATTATTCAGTTGTTGTAAGGCATATCAAGGCTGCTTCATTTATGTTCTATTCAAGAATTTGTTATGAGATTGCAATCTGTTAGAGTTTCCGTATATCATGCAGTTAATTTGGGTAAAAATATATTTACAGGTGTCCCTTGGCGATTTTTGGCGGTACATGGATACCGAGTTCAAAATAATAAGTCAAAGAAACACAAACTCGGTATCCATGTACACATAGACCTATTTTTACTTAGAAAAATATCAGAGAATTGCACAAACTTGGCATTGCACACTCTCTTGACTTTGTCCATGTACACGTCGATCTGTTTTCACTTGAAAAGTCAAAGGAGCAACCAACAAAAAATAATATATAATTTGAATAAACTGCACGGTAAAATCCTAGTATACGGTGCAGCCTTGGCGCGATTTTCAAAATTATCGCCAACACCAAAGTGACTCGTTTAACTGCTCACCGTATATGTCCCATTTACTGCTCATCATAAAGTTGCCAAATCCCTTGTGCACCGGATACTAGGATTAAACTAACTACATTTTAAATCAAGCAATCAAATAACATAAAAAGGGAAATTAATCTTAGCACTACACAAAGGAAATAACGACTTACCTTATTTAGAAATTTTCCTGTCATTTGAACCAGAATCTGTATACTGGCCTCGCCACATAAATTCACAAAGATATAAAATAGTCGCAGTCAAAAATATCCTCCGACGTTTGACCATACACATTTCCTTCCTACAAACTATAATACACTTATAATGGCTACTAAGTAAACACTCATTTACACACCAGTCAATTAATGCTCTTTCCCTTTTAGTTCCAAATCTTAGAGAAACTTCAAATTAATCTTACCACATTCTGCCATTTTACCGTCTAAACCACAAAACAAGCAACGAACTTCCTAACCAACACACACCACAAGCCTTTACAAATCTTTTCCCATCATTCAAATTCACTGCAATCATGTAATCTATGTCATAATAGGGTTTCCATACCGTTCAACTACTCAGGTTACCATAAATGAAACAACAACATCGCAATATTATAATACAAGGGGCAGCCTTAAATCTACTCTAACCAATTTCGACAGCCAAGACTTCTCTGTATATCAAACTATGGGTCCAGAGAGTATCAGGTGCTACAGCTTAAACTTTATTTAGAGCTTAACGTCACTGTACTTATTGGTGAGCACATAAACTCAATTTGAACAAAAGCATACAGAAATTTTTCATTCACTTTCATGCTCTTTAAGACTAAATATTTGCTCTCCGTGTGTATGAGCTAATATAGTCTTCAAAAATAGTTATGTCCATATCTGACATAATAAATGAAATGTGCATCGTTCAACATATCTGTTGTCTCATCTAGCTAAAGTGAATAAAATCTATTTTCTTTTTATTCTACTAATAAGTCCAGATTTATTTTATTAACCATGTCATTGATTTGGCATGTAACTGTACCATTTGGGAGTGATATTAAATCAATATCCTTAGATAGTATTTCACTAAACATGGTTTTAATTATATCTTTTGTAATTGGAAATATTAAAGTCTCACCTGTAGAATGGGGTTTCATGCTATTAGTGATGTAAAGACTTGTAATATGGGAAGCTTTTAATGCCTTCTATAAACTTTCATAAAATGTTGGTGTTTGGTTAAAAAAAGATGACTGCCATGTATAATTTCTTGAAATTTGATGTGGTGTATGCAGTTAATAGAAATTTATTTTTTATCTTTTTTCGAGAATCAGAGTAAGCAGGCTTCAAGGACCACAGTTTGAGAAACACAACTGTAATGAATAAACTAACCGACTTTATGATGTGTTTTACAATTTGCTATTTGTAAAGTGAGTAATATGTCAGAATATAATGTTAAGTAGCTTAAATTTAGTTCATAGTACTTAAAAATGATACTAGTCCAGCCATCTTAGTAGAAATGGCCAAATTTTCCAAACTGTGCTAAAGTCTGGCAGCTATACACATAACAATTCTTCAAGCAACTATGTTCAATCAAGCAAGTTAACCATTTTTGTATGCATTGTTTTTGTTTTACTGGAAGTTACAGTGACTCAAAACGAACCACTTCAGAGAACTTGAAATGTAGGCTTCCCCGAAAAAGAAAATGGTATGGTGCTATTACTTGTCCCTCTAATCTGAGTTATCTGCTATGTCAAGTTTTTTAATGAATCATGGGCAAAAGGAAGAGAGTGGCTGTCTCTATTGCCAAGTCCTTGGCCATCTTATAGGCGATGGAATTAGCTTGCCTAGCTTCATTCCTAATTTTGATTGAGAATATCTTGGGAAAACAAGAGTCCTGGATTCTGTTATCCTTTTACTCCTAGTACCAATCCTTCAAAGAGACGTGATGGTGTTTTAAGTGTTCCCATGCTACAAAGTTACTTAGTTTGCAAGTAACTATGCCTTCTGTGAGGTTCGTCTATTTTATAATTAACATATTGCAGCTGGCATCATTAACTACTACAGTCAAAAGTCGTTAATCCGGACTCGTCGGGACTTCGGCGATTCCGGATTATAGATCATCAGTTTAAATCTGGTAAAATGGCATGCAGAAATTATAAAATTACAAATATGAAACCGTAATTTACGAAATAAAGAACAATTATGATCTAAAGGTTATCAAAATTTACAAAAAAAAAAAAAAGAGCTTAATATTTATTTGTTTACTTTATTTAAACATTTCTTTCAATGTAAGTTGTTTAAGTTGCTTCGTTTATGTGATAATACTTTCTCTTTAATTCTATAAACAGACATAATTTCTTGTTCAGTTACAAAGTTCCGCTGTTCAAGTCCTATAATTGCTGTGTCGAGAATACCGACTAATTTGTCAATCGAAATTTTTTCTTTTTCAATAACTTCTGTGTCACTTTCTTCACTATCGGTAGCGAATTATAATGATGAGGAATTTTATTTAAATCATATCAAAGACGGAGTACACCGAGATGAAATACTACATTTAGTAGGGAATTATAAGCCAAATAAAATAAAAACATCTGCCCTGAAGATAAGGATAGTGCTGACAAATCAACTTCCAATTCATTGCGCGCTGCAGTGTCCCACCCCACCCCGCAGAGCAGCATGAATTTGATAAACAAATTTCGGAATGGTTAGAGAAACGAAGGATATGCCTTTATCCATTTTTTGCAGCAAATCCACTTTTTGTTTAATGGACTTCGAAACATACTTTTGCTTTGTAGATCCTTTACATATTATTAAATATATATCGGAAATTTTATTTGACATAATCGAAAGTTCAAGCTTACTTTTATAAAATTGCTCTAACAGTCTGCAAAAAATAATAAGCCGTATCCAATTTGAAGATTAAGAAACAACACAATCTGCAAAACTAACTGAATTAGATAATTTTAGCTAAAGGCCAGTTTACATGTGTCAAAGCTGCTCGTAGCGAGCCGCTCGTCCGGGCATTTCGAATCGAGTGAGCGGGCCTGTACTCTGATAGATTGTTTACACCAATCAGAGTGAACTGACAACTCGCCTCCGTTTGTTTACGAAATGGATACCGACGTCGCAGCTGCAGGAAAGAATATGCATTGAACATACATAGATGTTATTAGGCTGCAGTGCTTGAAGTCTGCGAAGCAGTTTCAAACGAATTAATTTCTGCTCTTGGGAGGGAAAAAAAAAAAAGGAGAAGAAGAAAAAATGGGTACGTGATTGGGTAGCTTGCCGCAATGAATTAGGAGTATCAAATGAACTATTAAATTAATTTCGGATGAGAATGTCCAAAGTCACAAAAACGTTATTGCATATCAGATACAAGAATTTAAAAAAAATTCAGTTTGAGAGAAGTTATTTAGTCAACTGTGGTTACTGAAAGTCAAATTAACAAAGTTTTTCTACTATATACAACTGTTAATTAACACCTAATTAATGATTTACAAAATAATGTAAAAGTAATAATGTGTTTTATTATTTATTAATAGAAAGAATATATTTATTCATCCAGAATTCACAGAATCAGTATCTCTCTGTGCATGAATTAATTATGCAGAGTTCTGACTGGAACTGTGTTATTTCTAGAGAAGAATGCAAAATTAACACATTGAATATTTATTCAAAGCTACCATTAACACGACAGAAGTAAACTGTATGATATCTACCTAATTATTCAGAAAATCTTAAATAAATAAGAAGTAGCAAAAAACTTGGGAGCATTACATATATTACCACAGGTAAAAGAATATATATATTATGACATGGTTCCAAGAGGAAGATATTTATCGCAAATTGTTACTTTTGGATCCTACTGAAATTGTGTTTCTGGACAACACATAAAGTGATATCAACAAAATTAATATTGGGTAAATATAGTGATTATACTTTACTTTTAAAATGCTAAAACGGATAGTTTAAGAAGATTAGAATTCATCTAGCATAATTTATATAAACCTTAATACACAGTACTTGCACTCACACATCCAAACTGAATTGTAACAAATTATAGCCCAGAATGTTTTTATACAAAGCAAGAAATTTAAATATCCCCAATAAAACAGATCTACATATCTTTTTCATAATTTTTATTTTTATTTTTATAGTTTATCATATATTTATTGCATCCTCATGTAGGGATGCTTGTAGAAAAATGAATATAAACTCACATAATTAAAGAAGTAAAACACTTCATAAGATGCGTATGCATTAAAAAATGCCATGGTTTGGCTATCTTGGATTATA